CTTCCTGATCCCTCAATCCCTCTGTCCCTCATCCTCACTTCCTGATCACCTCCCTCATCCCTCTATCCCTCATCCCCCTCCCTCATCCCTCTCCCTCACTCATCACCCCACCCCACCCACACCAGCCATGTTCCTGATGACAAATTCTGTCGTTTCTCCAAAGGGAGAGGTCTGCAATTAGTTTCTTTCTCCCACTTTGGAAATAGTAGTCATGAGGATAAATGTGCATGGCCTGTCTCTGCACGGCAATTTGCTTATAGTTCTGTGTAAATTCTTCTATGCTTCTAATTAAGCCATTGACACTTGGGAAATGAGCCTGTGTGCACTTCCATTTCTTAACAACAGTGTAACGTATTTTGATATTGAGAGCACAATACCTTACAATGGGGAGACGGAGACATGTATGTTATTTCCCATGTTAGCTGTTTGTTTAAAATATTTGAATTACTGCATTTCCACACGTTGGCAGATCATTTTCAATACTTGTGTATCGTTCAAGAAGTTAGGCTTTGAGATTAAATTGATCAATGTTTATTGCACTTGTCATTTTGAAAGAACCATTAATGGGGATTTCCAGGTTTGTGGACTTTGTGCAGTTGAGATGTGAACTGACACATCACATCATTACTACTGCTGCATTTGTAGCTTATCTGTGTGTGTGTGTGTGCGAGATAGTGTGAGAGAGGGTGCAGTACAATGATAGAGTTGTGACAACTGTTGTGTAAACAATTCAGTTGCATTCAAACACTCCAAGTGTAGTGGGAGGGGACAGTTCTCTAAACTTGCTATTCACGCAGCATACACATTATAAAACAAAGCAAGCACGTTCTGAGTACATGAAAGCAAAGTACTGCAGATACTTGAAATCTAAAATAAAGCAGAAAGTTCTGGAGAAACCTGGCAGGTCTGGCAGCATCTGTGAAGAGAAAAACTGAAGTTCTGAAGAAATCATACTGGACTTGAAATGTTAACTCTTTCTGTTTCGATATAAGTACAATTGGCCATACAGAAGCACTAATTCTTCTGAATGATACCAGGACTCAGATGGTTAAATGATGAGTATAGGTTACCTGACCTTAACTTGTATTCCCTGGGATTCAGCAGATTGAGGAGTTATCTGGTGCTTAAGTTGTTAAAAGGATTCAGTTGGGTTGATCAAGAGGAAGTATTTCCCTTTGGAGTAAATGAAGGACAATGGGATGTGATCTAAAAATGAGAGCTAGGCTTTTTGGGAGTGAAATCAGGGTGGAATATTTCATACACAAGTCGTGGAAATCTAGAATTATCTTTCCCTCAAAAGATTGGGAACCATTGGAACTATCTAGACTGAGATTGATTGATTGCTTTTATTTCGAGCAGGGGAGCACTAGATGCGAAGCAAAGCTGAACTGATGGATTTCATGTACAGAGCAAACGTGGTCTAATTATACATTGGAGCAGTGATGGATGAAGGACTGTTTTGAAATTCCCCAAATCCCATAGCATTAGAGAATAAAGCTGAAGGAGTGCTTGTTTAGTCAGGAGTGTTGAAGGAGTTTAGGGAAGTACACACTTAAGGGTTAGAAAGGGAGCTGTAGATGGGGCTCGAGATGATGGAAGGGACACAGGATGGCTAATGGAAGGGTGAGATGCACAAGAGGCTGGAGGTGGATTGCATGCTTAGAGAAGGTTCACAAAGCCAGCATGTAAAGCATTTGTAAAGAATGTATGCTCGATTGTGAAGTGCTGAATGACCTCCTGTGCTATTCAGTCTGATTCTGTTTTGAAAAATGTGATATGAAGTTCATAAGTCGATCAGCAAGGATGAGAATAGTGGGACTTCATGTGGATAGCTGCTCAAGGTTTGAGCACCAATGGAGACGTGTAATGTTGCTACGATGGAAGTAAACAGTCTTTGTGATGGATGGGGTATGGAGTGCATACATGGATCCATTGTATGAACTGTCGGTGTGAGAGGCTTTAGAGGAGAGGGAATCAGTGACAGGTAAACAGCAGCTTTCATCCTGATGTTGCAGTTAGTGGAATTTCTCTGGCACTCCGACAGCCAGGGGTGGTTGACTGTGTGATTTAAGAAAGGCGGAAGTGGATGCATTCACAGTACTGTGCAAAATGACATGTCACTGAGAAGCAGCAGAAATTAGAAACAAAGCTGCGAATGAAGACAGTCAGTGAGGAGTCAGATCACAGGCCAGTCTGAACCAGTCAGCAATGTGGGAGACATCGAGCTCTGGCTTAACATAGAGTGAAGGGTAAGCCAATTCTGGCCACAAAAAAAATAAAAAAAATAAATTAAATTGCGCTGTAAAATTAGAGTGTTTTTGACACCAAACATTTCCTGTTAGGAGGCAAAGACCAGTAGGGTGGAAATCAAAAGGTTGAATAAGTTTCAAGTGACATTGTGGATATCTGAAACCTTATACTGAGGTTACAAAATGTTAGATTTGAATGTGAAGGGACCTGGAGGAATGACAGAGCAATGAAGTTGCGATACATATCAACAAGATCCAACTGAATGCTGGAAAGGGCTGAATGGCTGTTATGTTCTTGATTCACATTTAAACTGAAAAGTTGTAGAATATTTAAAAATGGAAATGAACAGCAAAAGAAAATTGCTTGTAAGTTGACAGAGCAGGTACAGCTGTGACAACAGCTCTAAGGGCTGCAGAGTCACAAGCTTTGCTGTACTATCTGTTAAGTAGCAGCATTTCTTAATGTAGGAGTACATGTTTAAACTTAATGCCTGAATATGTTTGCCTTGCAGTTTTCATAGTGTGCATGACCTACCCTGGCTAACAATCAGGAACAAGAAATTTTCTTTTCCATTTTACTAAAGTTTTAAAAATAAAAATATCAAATGTTACAATAAAAAGCAAACATATCAGGTCTACAGTAATGCCAATCCATCCAAAGTCCCAGAAGTTTCAGCATTTGCATTGCAACCACCAGCCACTATAAATGGCAAGGTTTGGAGATTCTCTGCTCAGGTTATAACTCCATTACGGCAGTCAAACATTCCCATTTAGTTGAGCTGCCTGAACATCGATGGTTTTATTTTCATGGTTTTGGTTGTAACATGCTAAGAGGAGGATGACCTTGTATTCCTGGTAGTGGCTATCTCATTTCTGGTAGCATTTCCATTGGTGCTGCTCTTCCACAACGCATTCCCATTGACAGACCCACAGACGGCCTCATACCTGCTGAGGGAGCTCCATACCTGATTGGTGGTGGGCCTTCACAGCCTGCTGCATATTGTTGAGATGCTGCTGTGAAACTGGGTGGTATGGTGGCTCAGTGGTTAGCACTGCTGCCTCACAGCGCCAGGGACCCAGGTTCGATTCCAGCGTTGGGCGACTGTCTGTGTGGAGTTTGTACATTCTCCCTGTGTCTGTGTGGGTTTCCTCCTACAGGCCAATGATGTGCAGGTTAAGTGGATTGGCCATGTTAAATTGCCCGTGGTGTCCAGGGATGTGTAGGTCAGGTGCATTAGCCATGGGAAATGCAGGGATAGGGTAAGGGGGTGGGTCGGTGTGGGAAGCTCTTTGTAAGGTTGGTGCGGACCTGATGGGCCAAGGGCCTGTTTCCACATTGTAGGGATTCTGTGATTCTATGAACTAGAGCTGCTGCAACAGTCCCACATGCCTGGGGTGTCTTCACCTGCTGGCATGGGCCTCCCAGTCCTTGGACAGGACCTGATAACCCATCTGGAGCCTGTGGCATTGGTACAACCTGATGCTCAGCCAATACCAGGTGCACCAGGACTCATGGAATCCAGGATTTCACCTCATAGCAAACTCAATCCAAGTACACGTTTCTCCTCCCACTCTGGCTGCTTGGAGTTTTTCGCTTGTACTTTCTGAATTTATCACAGTCACACAGGATGAGATTGATGTGTTTGTCAAAAACCTTAAAAGTTTCAGTGAAGATGTGCCTGTCCTGAAGGATAATCTTCACTGTTGCAGGGAAGTGAGGGCCACTTCAGTGACCTATTACCATTTGCCTCAGATCCTCTCACTGAGCAGTGATTGGTGATGAATATGAGACCTTCTGGGCTGTCATGGTTCTCTTCCCACACTGGGTAATCCATTTGCCTCATAAAACATCGAGCTTTGAATTGAAATCGTTAGGTGCCTCAGTTCCTGTTCAGACTTGTTTGTCCGTAGAAATCTGTGATCATAGAATATCTTTAGAGAGATTTTGCTTATATTGATATTTTTGTTAACATTCAATTAGCTCATTAGAACTGATTCTTTTTGTGTGCAGCTATGCAGTTGCACTATCCAAAGAAATATATTTGAAGCAGCAAGTAGTTCTGATCTGGAATGTGCTGTGTGAGAGAGTGGCGGATATATAAAATAATAACTCTTAATAGGGTGTTGCATGAATACGAGAAGGGAAGGTAATTATAAGACTAGGGCTGAGACAGAGTGACTAGAATCAATTACACAGTTCTCTCAAAGAGCTGGCAAAAACACAATGGGCCTTAAGGCCTCCTGTACTGTATTAGTCTATGCTGAGGCCACAAGATCAGATTGATAATTTTTTTCCAGATACAACTTTTAGAAAAAATGTACACTTTGACTGTTGGATAAGGAACTATGTTGTCTGAAGGTTGCCAACTGTACTTATAATTATTGCAGTGCAGTGGAGAGTGAGTCATCAGATTGTGATGGCAGAGAGTATAATCTGCACTTCATTACAGGTTTGTGACTGAAATTTATCCATTATATCCTATAATCTTGAAATGGAAATTTCAAATGGGGGGAGAACAGTAAATTTCAAAGCTCAGTTTCTGAGCTGGTTACGCTGGGGGTTTGCAGGTCATCCCAGTCTGGTCCAGTTTGATCCAGTCCAATTTAATCTCTCAGGCTAACTGGGAGAATATTCGCTGTCTGGTTTACACTCTCTCTAATTGGGGGACTGTTCCCTGTCCAGTTTACACACTCATTGACTGGGAGAATGTATCTTCTGATGTTTAGAAGTGTAAATTAAAACATACAAGATCCTGACGGGTAGTTGTGAAACGGATACTTCCTCTTATGGGAGAAACTAGAACAAAACAGAGGTGAGGTGAAAGTTTTCCTCTCTGAATTATGAATCATTGAATATTCCTTTTGAAAAAGTGGTGGAAGCAATGTCCTTGAATATGTTGAAGGAAAAGGTAAGTTGGTTAATGTTCAGCATGGGGCTGAACGGTTATTGGGGTAGACTGGATGAGATTATAGTCGTATCAATCATATCTTACTGAATAGTGGAGTAGCCTTGTGGGGCTGACTTACCTCCTCCTCCTGATACATAAGTTCTTTTGATTAAAAACCCATACAGAGAGCATAAGTGTCCTGGGTCATGGTTGGAGGTTGTATTGTTGAGAAATTTATAAGAGGGAGGGTGTGGGTATAAAATATCACTTTTGCAATAGCCACTTGAACCTATGCCCCATAAAGGACATTAAATTATAATATCTTAATCCAACAGGTGACTGGCTATAGTGTGGCCTTGAGAGCAGAGAGCTGAGAAAATAAGCTTGTAGCAGTTTGAAGTTTCTTCTGGTAAAAGTTAGAAAGATGTTTGGATCTGCTTTTTTTTGATTGTATTCCGCACTGAGAAAAATTGTGCCACGTTTACAGGGAGGATTGGACAGCTAGCTTTTTGTTGCTGCCAAAATTGAATTAATGCTTCCTAGACAGGATGTAGTGAATAATGGGAGGAGAGGCTTTTTCTGGGAGCCTGACTGAAAATTTAGAAAAGCTGTTTTAAGTGATTAATGAGGTGGAAGGGTTAGTCAGGTTGGCATTTTGCATTCTGGCTCCCATTTCTCCCTCACTAAAAACAGATTATCTGGTCATAATGTAATTTGCTGTTTGAGGGAGTTTGCTGTGTGCAAATTGACTACCATATCTCCTTCGCAGCTACACTTCACAATTACTTTATTGACTACAAAGTGCTTTGAGACATCTTAAGGTATGAAAGATGCAATATAAATTCAAATTCCCAATTGACCTGTGCTGGTCACATAGGTTAGTGTTTGGTACAAAGTTATGGATATATAAACATATGGATGATAATGGAATAGTGTAGGTTAGATGGGCTTCAGATTGGTTTCACAGGTTGGCACAACATCGAGGGCCGAAGGACCTGTACTGCACTGTAATGTTCTATGTTCTATGGAAGAGTAATAGAGTTATGCAGTATGGAAACAGACCCTTCGGTCCAACTTGTCCATGCCGACCAAGTTTCCCCAAACTAAACTGATTCCACTTGCCTGTGTTTGGCCCATATCCCGCTAAATCTTTCTTATCCATGTTGCTGTCCAAATGTTGTAACTGTACCTATATCTACCACTTCCTCTAGCAGTTCATTCCACGCATGCACCAGATGGTTATCAGATAAGGCTGAAGCATTCACAGCAGTCTTCAGCCAGAAGTGCTGAGTGGATAATCTGTCTGTACCTGTGTTTTCATTTAGCAATTACAATCTACCGAGCCATTCAGCCCTTCAATCTGGTCTACCATTCAGTCAGGTAGGAGCTGTTCTGGACGTTAGCTCCATTTTTTTTTTACTGCCTTTGCTCCAATTCTCTGATAGCTTTTAAAGAAAAAATCCAGCATTCACAGTCCTGTAAACTTCTGAGGGAAAGAATTGGAACTTGCTATTACTGTTCATGTGAAGGTTTACCTCCAGGCTTTACCACCGAAGGACTCAGCTCTAATTGTAAGATTATGGAGTCTGGATTTCCCCACCAAAGGAAGTAGTTTCTCTGCGTGTGGCCAATTGAAGAACTTTGGCCTTTAAACACCAGAATCTGACCATCCCTCTTCTAGGAATGCCAACCAAGTTTAAACAGTTTGTCCGTATGATTTAATGATTCACTTTCCTTGGTTGAATCACACTTCAGCCGTCTGAACTCAAAATTTATGGCTGAAATAAATCATAGAAAAATACACACTGAATTCTGTCACTGATCCCTGCCAAATCTCAAGGCTGTGATGGTACTCGGGGACATTATCCCTGTGATAGGGGAAGCGGGTGTTAATAGACGTTAATGGAGTGCATTAATTGTGATCGATATAATAAGTTGATGTAACCTGTTTTCAGATATACGTGGCCTGCCAGTCGATGCTGATTGTTCTCGTTGGAGCCCAGCCTGAGTACAGTGTAAACACACAGGAAGTAATCAGCACACATGAAGAGCTCATCAAACATGTCATATTTGAGGAAGATATCACCTCCATTGCAACTGAGGTAAACAATCAGTGTGACCCATATTACTTGTTTGTGTTTGAATGTTGAATCTTCTGTATGGTGATTTATCAGAAATGTTGTTTCCTCACTAGTTAGAGACATAGGAGTAGGCCATTCAGCCTATCAATCTTGCTCTGCCATTTGGCTAGATCATTCCTCATCTTCTACCTTAGTGCCACCTCCCACAGCATTCCCATATTCTTTGATATTTTAACATCTAAAAATCTGCCGATCTGTCCCTTTAACACTGTCAATCACTGGGTTAGGAATTCCAAAGATTCATCATCCTCTGGGTTTTCCTAATCTCAGTCCTAACTGTCCTGCCTCCTGTTCTGACACTCTGTTCCCTTGTTCTGGACTTGCCCATCAGGGAAACATGCTTGCTGCATCTACCTTGCTGTGAACCACTCCGTCTCCTCCTCACTTACCAGGGGTGCAGTTCACAACTGCTCATTCTCTGGCATACTGCACAATCACACATTTTTTCTTTCCATTATGTACCGGTGGCTGACTGACTACTGAATGAGGACCTGCCCTCTGCTGATATCTGATAAATACTGGCATACACTGGAGACCCTGGTGCTGTGTTGTACACTCAATGAAGTTTCCAGCAGGTTGCAGCTTTATCCCAATGGGCAAGAGCCTTGGCTGACTATTTCATCCCTAACCCAGAAGTTCATGATCTCAAAGCACAGATGGGATCAAACCGATAGGAAGATAGAAAATAGGAACAGGAGATAGGGCATTTGGTATTATCATGGCTGATGATCCTAATACATATCCTATTCCTGCTTTTGCCCTGTCTCTTTTGATGCCTTCGGTCCTAAGAACTATGCCTAACTCCTTGAAACCATTTCATGTTTTGGCCCTACCACTTTCTGTGTCAGAATTCCAAAGGCTCTCTGGGCGAAGAAGTTTCACCTCCTGTCAGTCCTAAATGACTTACGCTGTTTCCTTAGATTGTGACTCCTGGTTCTGGACTTCCCAGCCATCAAAAACATCCTTCCTGCATTGTACCCTTGTACTCCCTCCATAGCCAGAACATCCTTCCTCGGATAAAACTGCACACACTGCTTCAGTTGAGGTCTCAGCAAGGCCCCATACAATTGCAGAAAGACATACCTGTACTCAAATCATCTCACCATGAAGGCCAATATACCATTTACCTACACCACCTGCTGCACCTCTATGCATGCGTTCAGCGATGGATGTATAAGGCCACCCAGGTCGCATTGCATGTTCCCGTTTCCCAATCTATCTTTATTCCGATCATTTTGCTACCAAGTGGATAACTTCATTTACGCACATTATATATCATCTGCCCTGCATTTACCTACCCTCTCCACTTGTCCAAATGGCACTGAGGCATCTCTGCATCCTCCTCGCAATTCACCCTTTCACCCAGCTTTGTATCTTCTGCAAACTTGGAGATATTAGAGTCATAGAGCCATACAGCATGGAAACAGACCCCCCAGTCCAAACTCTTCCACGCTAACTAGGTTTCCCAAACTAAACTAGTCCTATTTGTCTGCATAGGGCCCATATCCCTATAAATCTTTCTTATTCACGTACTTGTCCAAATGTATTTTAAATGTTGTAACTGAACCTGCATCTACCACTTGCTTTGGCAGTTCATACCATATACATACTACCCTTTGTGTGAAAAAGATGCCCCTCAGGTTCCTATTAAATCTTTCCCCTCTCCCCTTAAACCTATGCCCTCTGGTTTTGAACTCCCTTTCCCTAGGGAAAAGACTTTTGCTATTCACTTATTTATGCCTCATGATTTTTCAAGGTCACCCCTCAGCCTTCTATGCTCCAGGGATAAAGGCCCCAGCCTGTCCTTATAACTCAAACCCTGCAATCCCGGTAACATCCTTCTAAATCCTTTCTGCAACCTTTTTAATTTAATAATATTCTTCCTATAGCAGAACTCACCTAAATAATTAATATATATTGTAAATAGCTGGGTCCAAGCCCTGTGGTACTGCTGTAGTTTCTGTCTGCCACTCAGAAAATGACCTATTTGTTCTTTCTTAAACTTTGAGCAGATCGGAGCACCACACCTTAGGGAAGATGTTTTAGCCCTGGAGGGAGTTCACTGCAGGTTTACATGGATGATATCTGGACTTCAGGGGCTAAGTAATGAGGAGAAATGAGACAAACTAGGCCTTTATTTCCTAGAATTTAGAAGGTTAATGTATGATCTAATCGATTTCTTCAGGATATTAACATGGAGAGGCAGATAGATAAAGATAAACTACTTCCACTAGTTGAAGATTCTAGAATCAGGGGCATAGTCTGAGAATTAGGGCCAGGCTATTCAGAAGAGACATTGGAAAGCACTTCTACATACAGAGTAGTGGTGATTTGGAACTCTTCCTCAAATGGTGATTGATGCTAATCCAGTTGTTAAATTTAAATCTGTGATAGACAACTTTTATTAAGCAAGGGTATTGAGGTAATGGGCCGAAGGCAGGCATGTGGAGTTAGGCCACAGAGCAGCTATGATCTTATTTAATGATGGGGTAGTGTTGAAGGGTTGCTGCTGTTTGTGTCCTGTTTGACTGACAATTCTCTATTCAGTTTGTACACTACCCCCAATTCCCTACACTTTAGTTTTACATGCTAATCTCTTATGTGGGCCCTTATTGAATGCCTTCTGAAAACCAAGTAAACACATTCACTGGTTCTCTGTCATCAACTCTACTACTTACATCTCCAAAAATTCCATTAGATTCGTCAAGCATGATTTTGCATTTGTAATCCATGCTGACTCTGTACTGTTTCCCAAGTTGTCAGCTGTTTAATCTTTTAAAGTGGACTCTATCATTTTCCCTACTACTAATGTCAGGCTCACCAGTCTGTAATTCCCTATTTTCTCTCTATCTCCTTTTTTTTGAGAGTGGTGGGGTTACATTAGCTACCCTCCAATCTATGGTAACTGTTCTATAGCATCTTGAAGGATGGTCACCAATCAATCCACTATTTCTAGGGCCACATAAGTACTCCGAGATGTAGATTATTGGACCCTAGTGATTTGTCAACTCTCCTGCACCATTTTCCTATGAGTACTGTCAAACTTTTTCTCTTAGTAGTTCATGGGTTCCCTAGAATTTTAAGGCGTCATTTGTGTCCTTCATGAGGACCAAATAAAAGTATGTATTTAATTAGTTCTGAAGAAGGGTCACTCGACCTGAAAAGTTAACTCTACTTTCTCTCCACAGATCTCAGACCTATTGAGTTCCTGCAGCAATTTGTGTTTTTATTTCAAATTTCTAGCATCCAGAGTTCTTTTTATTTTAGTGTTTATTCCTCTGCTTCCTGTTGGTTAACCAACCCTGTATCCATGCTCATACATTACCCCCAAATGCTCGAGTTTTTACCTTGTGTAGTAATTTTTAATGCAGCACATTATTGCATACTTTTATCCTTTCTTCAGAACCTTCTGCTTGGTGCTGTCAGACCTGCTGAGTTTCTCCAGCAATTTCTGTTATTCCAACAGGAAACAGATTCAGGGTAAATGGATCACTTTCAAGTTGGCAAACTGTAACTAGTGGAATTCTGCAGGGATCAGTGCTGAGGGTACTTATTTAATAAAAAAAATCAGTACAGTTGTCAGAAATGATCATGAGTTGGAAAATCAGGATGTAGAATCAGATTGGGTGGGAGGGAGAAATAGCAAGGAACAAAATCACTAATACGTGTCGTTGATTGATATTCCAACAGTAGCTACACTGTAAGACTGAGAACAAATTGAGAAATGATAGGAACTATTAAGAAAAAAGACTGGATGATCTTAACACACATTGGACAAATCAAACTGGCAAAGATAACCTTGAAAATGTGTGAAAGTGAATTCAGAACGGTTTCTTGGAGCAATCTTATGGAATCATTGTAGAATCATAAAATCCTTAGTGTAGAAGCAGGCCATTCAGCCCATTGAGTCCGCACCAACCATCCAAAGAGTGTCTCTCCCAGACCCACCCCCATACCCCGTCCCTATAACTCTGCATTTCCCATGGCTAATCCTGCACATCCCCTGGACACTATGGGTGATTTAGCATGGCCAATCCACCTAACCTGCATGTTTTTGGACTGTGGGAGGAAACCGGAGCACCTGGAGGAAACCCACACAGTCGCTAGGGAACTTGCTATTTTTGATCTGCTAATACATAACAAGACAGGGTGAATTGATTCACCGTAAAGTACCTAGAAGTGATGATCCAAATAGGCACAGACAGATAGGAAAACAAGTTGTGAGAAAGGACACTGTTTATAAAAGGAATACAGATTGGTTAAGTGAGTGGGTGAAAAGTTTCAGATGGATTTATTACATACTTCAGTAGGAAGAACAGAAAACCAGAATGTTGTTTAAATGGTGAAGCACTGCACAATGCTGTGAGTTGGGGGAATTTGCTGCCCTTGTACTTGAACCACAAAAAGCTAAGGTACTCTCACAGCATTAAATTTGAAATTAGGGAAGTTTAGTGCAGGGCATTGGTGAGACCTGGTGTTATGGACAGTTTTAGCTTCCTTACTGCTAGAAGAACACACTTGCAGTTGAAGGGTCTAGGCCCGAAATGTCAGCCTTCCTGCTCCTATGATGCTGCTTGGCCTGCTGTGTTCATCCAGCTCTACATCTTGTTATCTGCAGTTGAAACGTTTGAGAGCAGGTTCACTGAGCTGATTCATAGAGTCATAGAAAATGGCCTTCGGCTCGTCACTTCTTCCAGTCAAAAATAATCATTTAACTATTCTAATCCCATTTTCCGGCCATTGGCCCTAAGCCTTGTATGTCTTGGCATTGCAAGTGCACATCTAAGTATTTCTTAAGGATTGCTTAGCACCCAAAAATGGCCAAGGCATCCAAAATGCAATCCAACTTTCTCAATGTTCCAGGCTTTCAAAAATAAGTTTAGGGCTGGTTTGAGTCTATCTAGCACATCTGACACTCTGTGTAGCATTTTCTCGGATTTTCATGGCAATTTTGCACTTCTGTTCAGATAGGCAGCTGTTCCCTGCTTCATACTTTCCCTTCCCCTGCTACAATCACTTTCAGATTTACTGATGAACTGATGACTTTACTTTCAAGAAGAATAACTTGCAGATCTTTTTGTCAATAGTGGTACTTAATCAGGCAGGAAGCATACAAAGTGAACTTGGCTGGATCTTTGTTCTTCGTTGGACTACTCATCGGTAACATTTTGTTTGGGCCCTTGTCTGACCGGTTTGGCAGGAAACCAATCTTTCTCACAGGTCAGGATGAATGTTAATATTAAAAATGTTCCAATATTTTTGTTTGTCCTTGTAAGGAGTATAAAAGAGAAATATTTTTACTTGTACTATTCCATCAATTTAATTAAATATAAGAACTGTGATTTCAACAGTTTGCACTTGTTGAACACTTTTAACATAGTAGTGTCCCCAAGTGCACTTTACAGGAGTGTTATCAATCCACTTTTGACAGGAAGGCAAACTAGGAGATCTGAGCTCAGGTGATTGGAAAGCTTTGTTAGGTCTAGAGCTGACAAAAGTATGAATGAATGAATGAATATTTCGGTAGCAGATGAGCTGAGATGGGTGGAGATAGACAGTGTTACACCTACGAAATGGGCCTGCTTATAAACAAAACTAGAAAAGGGGATTTTGATTATGGGGCACCTGATTGCAAATATTCCAGAGGCTTCTGGATGCAGTATCTTAATTTTTGGGTTGTAGGCATTTGGATAAGTTGTGGAATCCTAACATCCATGTCTTTTATCTGCAGTAGATTGTGGCATGTAGGACAACTTATTTTTGGCCCCAAAAATCAATATTTTGCATATCATTGGTATGTAAAGACATCCCGTCTGCTTTCAGGCATAACAAGCTATACTTGTGTTAGTTGTCTCCATTGTTCCCTTCATAAATACATATCCATCTTACTGCAATGTTCTGACTCGATGCAAATGATTAAGCCAGGGATGCAAAGATGTGATGGACGGCTCTTGTGGTGCAGTGGTAGTATTCCTACCTCTGGGTCAGAAAGTCTGTGTTCGAGTCCCACCTGCCCCAGACATATGTCATAACGTATCTGAACAGGTTAATCAAAATATTTATAGGCTGAGATGTGAAGACGCACTGGCATTTTTGGTGAATGACCAGGATGGTGACCATTCACACCCATGCTGGTAGTTCACCTCTATCCTTGGCAGATAAGTTGACCTTTGAAGCCTTGAAAAATCCCACCAAAAGCAGAGATCAGGTTGTATACTGACACCTATGGCAATGTGTTCTTGGGAGTTTTCTCCCATTGCTTGATTTTAGTGAGTTAGAGTGGATTGAGATCTGTCTTGGTTTATTTTAGAATTTGTATGTGGATATATGCCTATGCAATTGCAAGGTGTGATGAGTTTGGAGACATAATCACTGAGAATTTAAGGATAAGGGCGAGAATTCAAAGGGTGGTTGTTTTTCTTACTAGTAAGAAAAATTTGCAGATTCTTTAATCTGTCAATTCACCATGATTCACCTTGGCTCTAGGTATTTAAAAGAAACACCCTCTTAATTTACTATGTTTTATTTGCTGACAAGTCATGTTTGTCATCAGAATAGCCTTATTGTTATCAAGTTTAAAACATTTTAGAATTTGTAAATTATTGCATTATATTTTAACTGGCTAAAGCTGCAAGGGGGTTCTTTCCTCATTTAAAATCAGAAATATAAATGATTGAATGCATTGATAAGCCCCAAGTAAACCACAGTCTTTCATCATGAAATACAAGCAGCTAGTAAGTTTTTCCATTAAATTTGATTGGCAGCTAATCGTAGGCCTTTGAAATGTGTGGCACAGACATTTCTTAGCATCTTTTCTTCTGGAATTGACACTTGCTCCGTGGGCTGAGGTAGGAATTACAAGCACTTGTGAGGCGCATTGTGCTATGGAGGGTCTCTGAAAGCACTTATCTTTATTATTTTCCATATATCTGTGCCACCAGTAATTATTTTGTCCATCTCCTGTGTAATTCTAGATGGAAAGAACAAGCTTGCATTTATAAAGCGCATTTCACATCCTCAGGAATACATAACAGCCAGTTAATTTTCATTTTGCAGTGTAGCGAGTTTTCATATTTCGGTAAACATAGCTAATTTATTCATGTACTGAATTGTAAATAATCCAACTTTTAGCCTGAAGGAACTGGTATGACTGAGTTGGGTAGGAAAGCTTGCTAAAAGCCGATTGGTGCATTCTGTTAAACCCCCATCCCACTGCTCCCTTCTCCGGGTACAGTATATATTTTCTGGTACATGTGCATGCAGATTCTGCTTCATCTGAAACTTGCATATCTTGATGAAAATGTGTCTTTCTGCTGTGAACACAAGTTGAGAGCAAGTTTAAACCATGACAAAAGAACCAAATGGTATAACTGTCTTATATTTAGGATATGAGCAGATATACATAATTGACAAATTTGGTCATTATTAATTTTGTCATGATTCCTTAGATGAATTGCTCGTGTTCACTGTGGCTAATTAATAACTTTTTCAACTGAAAGAACATAGCATACCTTGAAGTGGGTCAAATACTATTTCTGGGTAATTATTGAGTTGGTTATAGCCAGTGCTTCCTTTACAGGATGTTAGAAGTGGGTGACAGTTGGTAATAGATCCTTTCCCCGCAATTCATTTGAACTACTCAGTGTCCAAGTCTTGGTTAAGGTATTCCTTCCTCTACTGGCACATGTTGGGTAAAGATGGACTGGGCACAGGTTAATATAACCACTAATAGCAAGCACAGAAATTGGACTGTTTGCGTAACTGTGGGCTGTTTGATTCTTGAATGACATGGTCTCTTTAAAGAAATGTTTCGAACAGTCACTTTTTTTATTTCTTTCAGGCTTGTTCCTTGATGTGGTCTTTGGATTTATTACAGCAGTTGCTCCAAACTATGAAGTTTTCGCAGTTACACGACTTCTTGTTGGGCTTGTGAATGGTGGAATGTCACTAGTGGCTTTTGTACTGACACAGGAATTTGTGGGAAAATCCTATTGGGCTTTGACAGGTAGGTGGCCTTGCAGCAATGTCTGTATATACATCATTTTTCTTCTTATCACTTTCCTTTTCAACTGGCAGGGGAGAGACCAGGATCATCTTCTTTCAGGTCCAGGAGGAGGTAATTGGTTTGTTCTGCCTCATTTCAGTCTTGCAGTCCTATCTGCCTGATGTTTTACCTTTAGTTTCATTTTCTTCCCTTGGATGATGTGCAGACTGACTGTAGCCATTAACATGAAGTGATTTTCATTGCTGCCATTGGCCACTCTGCTCCCTACATGTTTAGAGAAAAAAAATTCAGTGACCCTAATTTTCCTTCCTTCTGTGCTTATGATGAGAGGGATTGTTGGATACAGGTTTTTGGTCATTATATGCCCATCTTAAGTCATGGCTAGTAACGCCATGTCATAACTGTGAACAAGGTTGTATTCAGTACAGAATGTTTGGAAAATACCTTTACTTTTAAAAATGGACATTAATAAGGCTAAGATAGCTGTCAAGTGTCAAATGGCTTGGAATTTCTGCAAAGTTTTTATTGAATGACCGTGGATTGTCATAGCATCCATGGAGAAGTGAATCCTGCAATGATCCTGAGTTATAACATTGACTATTCAGGATGACTATACATCACTTGAATAAATAATCATCTTTATTTAAATGCACAAAAGCTTGCTGATGATAACCAATAAATAAACAATTGCTGCATGATTTCCTTTTAATGTAGTGAATAAGGATCATAATGCACTCCCTGAGTATACAGTGGAGGCAGATTTAATCTCAGCTTTCGCAAGGAAATCGAACACATGAAGAGAGAAAATATTTTAAGGCTAAGGAGAAAGAGTGGAGGAATGGGATTAGTTGAGTTGTTCTTGCACAGAACATGACTAAGTGAATGGCCTCTTGCTGTGGAACATTGGAGGATAAGAGTTAATGTGCTGTACTCTTGCTGTAATTCTTTGATTTATTGACTTTTAATTTTTTTTAAATTTAGGATCGCTCACCAATTTAGTGTTTGCAATTGGAATTGCTGCTTTCTCCGTTATTGGCTATTATATCAGGGATTGGCGTACCCTTGCTGCTGTAGCCAATTGTCCCGGAGTGCTGTTTTTCCTTCTTTTCATGTAAGTTCTTACTTCAATTTGTATACTGAGAAATCTAATTGATGTTGCTGATAGTGCAGAATGATTTTTTAAAATTCACTCACAGGATAAGGGCATCTCTGGCTAGGCCAGAATTTATTGCCCAACCCTAATCGCCCAGAGAGCAGTTAAGAGTCAACCACATTGATCATGAGTAAATTGGATACAAGCACAATTGGAGTAAATCTAATTATTAATGACGAATATGTTGAGGTTGTAGACATGCTCGCTGAGCCGATAGATATGGTTGCAATCGTTTTGTCACCCTGCTCGGTAACATAGTCAGTGTGCCTCCAGTGAAGCATCAGTGTTCTCTCCCGCTTGTTATTTACATGCCTCAGTTTGCTGGATGGTTGGTATTACTTCTGGTTTTGTTTCTCAGTGGTTTGTACACAGGGTCTAATTCAATATGTTTGTTGATGGAGTTCTGGTTGGAATACCAGGCCTCCAGGAATTCCCTGGCACGTCTCTGTTTGGCTTGTGCGATTATGGATGTGTTGTCCCAGTCGAATTCATGTCCCTCGTTGTCCGTGTGTGGTGAGACAAGTGAGAATTGGTCGTGTCTCTTGGTGGCGAGTTGGTGTTCATGTACACACAATCCACTGTTACCGCTGAGACAGACCACAACATGAAGGCACAATACGACTAGACTCACTAATCACCGTACCATACATCAAGGACATTTCAGAGACGACCACAAGACTACTCAGACCTCTAGGTATCAGAGTAGCCCACAAACCAACAATCATCCTATGACAGCTACTGACAAACGTAAAGGATCCCGTACCCAAAACCAGCAAAACTGGGATAATATACAAAATACCATGCAAGGACTGAGAGAAACACCACATAGGCCAAACTGGAAGAAAATTGACAATATGGATACATGAACACCAACTCGCCACCAAGAGACATGACCAATTCTCACTTGTCTCACCTTCTCACTTGTCTCACCACACACGGACAACGAGGGACATGAATTCGACTGGAACAACACATCCATAATTGCACAAGCCAAACAGAGACATGCCAAGGAATTCCTGGAGGCCTGGTATTCTAACCAGAACTCCATCAACAAACACGTTGAATTAGACCCTGCGTACAAACTACTGAGAAACAAAACTGAAAATAATACCAACCACCCCAGCAAACCAAGGCATATAAATAACGAGCGGGACAGAACACTGACGCTTCACCGGAGGCGCACTGACGATGTTACCTAGCAGGGTGATGAAACGTTTGCAATCAAACCCACCGGCTTGGCGAGCACGTCTTCAACCTCATCCACAACCCGAGCTACAAATCTCCTCAAACTTTAGACGAATATATTTGCACAATTCAGCCTAAAGTCCTTTTAAGTTGTGACATTTCTCATCTTGAGTTCTCTGCTGGAAATTATTAATGTCATTCTTGTTGAGATTGCGCTAGCTTCAATTAAAATAATTTGTTCCATATTTTTCACGTCTCCATATTAATGGGGCACAGTCATTGAGAGGTTTATCTACAATATTAGATGTAAGAACCAGCATTGATATTCTGGGCAGTTGTGGAGATTTGTAGGGTGCACTTTAGGACAACTAAATTTAACAATATCTCCTAACTTTAGTCAGCTCTTGTAAGATTGGATCTGAGACACATTTGCGAATGCGATGAGAAAACAGTGATGAACTGAAGTGAGAGGAATTGTGGTAGAAAAGACCAGAATACTGAATACTTGCTTTGAGGCTGACACCATCTCTAACTCTAACTCAGTCATTAAAAGGTTGGCTCATGAATTTCTCCCCTCTTTCTACAATAAGAATTAACAACTTCACTTGAGGGTATTTGGAGGTTGGGAACTCTTCAAAAAAAAAAAGAAAAAATAAGAAAAGAGTTAAGATAAAGAAAGATGAGAGGAAGCATCAAGGAAAAAAATGAAAGTGAAGTATTTTACGAAGATTTAGGAAATAGATAATTTTGGAAAATGAGTTATGCCATCTGAGAATCGACAAGAAAATATGAGAATTTGTGAAGCGTTACTTCTAAGAGAGTAAACCATTTAGTTCCTCCTGCCTGTTTCACCATTCAGTTAGGCAATGGCTGACTTTATTAAATAAAATTTAGGCCATTTGATGCAAATAGATGGATGTGATAACACTAGAGGGGGTACAGAGGAGGTTTACTAGGATGTTGCCTGGGATGGAGAAATTGAGCAATAAGGAGACACTAGATAGGCTTGGATTGTTTTCTTTAGAGCAGAGAAGACTGAGGGAAGACATGATTGAGGTGTATAAAATTATGAGAGATATGGACAGAGTGAATAGAGAGCAGCTGTTCCCCCTTGGTTGAGGGGTTAATTATGAGGGCATTGTTTTAGGATAAGGGGCAGGCGATTCAGAGGGGATTTGGGAAAAAGCCTTTTCACTTAGCGGATGGTGGGAATCTGGAATACACTGCCTGGGAAGGTAGTGGAAGTTGGAAACCTTACAGCCTTTAAAAAAAAATGTTTGGATGAGTACTTCAAAGTATCATAACACCCAAAGATATGGGACGAGTGCAGGAAATTAGGATTAGCGCACTTTTAGTGGTAGTTATGTCCCTGCAGGTTCGATGGGTCGAAGGGCCTTTTCTGCGCTGTACTAATCTTTTCTATGCTAGTGGCGATATTTCGTATGATCTGTATCTTAACTTCTGTGTGAAGAAGTGCTCCCTGGCATAATCCCTGAGTACCTTGCTCTAATTTTAAGGTTATGCATTCTTATTCTGAACCTTGCCAGAGGAAATTGCTTTCCCTTGGCTTGTCAAATCTCTTAATTAACTTAATTAACACCCCAATGAGATAACTCCTTAATCTGCTATACTCAAGAGAATGCAGTCCTAGTCAATGCAACCTGACTGTATGATTTAATCCCAGTATCTCACTCAGAATCTATGGTCACTGATAATGTGAGTCATTTACAATTGCTAGAAATGCATTCGCAGGCAATTCATTCTGTGCAAACAGATATGTTCAAGCCTTGCACCATTTTTGAATTATCAGAGAGCTTGAGGAGTCTTAAGTTCCCCATTGCTTTCTTCACAGCAACAGTATGACCAATGAGAGTTGACACTCCAACCAATTTTCTCTTTATCCTGTAACATAATTTGTCTTAATGGTTTGAAAATTGTCATTCTTTTCTTAGTCCTGATGAGTACAAGACAAAATGCTTTGGCAACATGTCTTTCTGCAACAATAGTCGTGTTCTGTCGTACCAAGCAACTGTTTTTCATATCTTCCTCATCATTTGTAAAATGAGTAAAAAGTTCCAGGATTTTCCTTTTGGACATTGCTGCTGACAACAGTGCAGTTCATTTCCTATTTATTTATTTGTGCCTTTGTTATTTGTTTTTTGTTGCAATAGTTTTTACTTCAGCCAAAAAGCTTCGGTGAAGAGAATTCTTACATGTCTTTTGAAAGTCAATAGACCTGATAGTCCACAATTTTAATACATTCTCAATTAAGTAAATGTAGCTAGGCAAGCAATTAAACCACTTTGGCTGTATCTTTGCTGTATTGAGGTTGAAGCACTTAATTTATAATACATTTCTTATGTTCCTTATCATAGATATAGTCATAGGTGTCAACTCAATAGAGCTTTAATACCCAAATTCCTGTTCAGAACTTGTATTAAAACTATCAATAATGTTTGGTGATCTTTAGTTTTATATTTAATGAATTGTGACATATTGCTGAGATGACTCCTCAAGCCAGTTGCAGCATTCATTTACTTCCTGGCTGACCTGTGCCTTAATTTTTTACCCACCTCGGTTCCATTATCTTTAATGCCCTAACCTAACAAAAGCCATCAATCTCAGTGTTGAAATTTTCAGCAAAAGAGATCTCAAGGTTTCTAGATTTTTCAAGACTTTATTTCGGAACCTGGGGTTGTAAATGAGGGGAGATTCGGCTAGCAACAAGAAACTGATTGGTCTTTGGGGTGATGACCTGTTGTCGATCAGCAAGACCTTCTGTTTGCCAACAGCTTTGTGATTGGCTGCCAATTAGCTGAATGGCATATGGTGTGAATGATCAGCCAGAAGCTGTCGCACCTCCAGAAAGGAAAGAGCTGTCCATTCTCTGCAGCTACAAACTCCTCAAGCCGGCAGAAGGCCAGTTTATTTTCTGCCATCACTTGCTGTAAACTGAGGCCTTTAACAAATAAGACAAAGACTTCCTACCAGTAAACCAGTCGCTTTGTGCCTCCTGCAAGTGAGTGAAAGGACCCGGAGAAGGATGATGGAAGAGCAGCAGGTCCTGACAAGCCAAAAGCATCATCTCAGTTAACCTTGTGTTTTTCACTCCACCTATTACAACCATGTTTCTTTTAGTGCATTTTGTGTCTGTCTGTGTGTGTGTAGGGAAAATCTTTTTCAAGGGATCAAGGGTTTTAACTAGTTGAGTTATATGTCATCATTCATAATTGTATATCTGTAACTAGAATCTGTTATTTGTAATAAGTAGTAATTCTTTATAGGTATAGAAGCTTTGCCTGTCTAAAAAGACAAGTAAATTGGGGAATTTTATGTACTTTGATACAATTTTTAACTTCAATGACAGCTTTGAGAATATTGGGTTTCCAGCATACTACAACAGTGAGGTGTAATTTTCCTGATGTCACCCATGTATGGCCTAGTATTAATTTTAAAATTAGGTTGCATTGTACAGGACTTCCTTACTAGTGGAAAAATGTAGATACCAAAGGAGTGTTACAGTTGTATAGGACTTTGGTTCGACCACATTTGGAATACTGTGTACAGTTCTGGTCGCCACATTACCAAAAGTATGTGGCTGTTTTGGAGAGGGTGCAGAGGAGGTTCACCAGGATGTTGGCTGGTCTGGAGGGCGCTAGCTATGAAGAGAGGTTGAGTAGATAGGATTATTTACGTTAGAAAGATGGAGGTTGAGGGGGGACCTGATTGAGGTCTACAAAATCATGAGAGGTATAGACAGGGTGGATAGCAAG